TCCTGGCCAAGTCTCACGTGCACCAAGGGCTGGGGCTGCAAGGGTCAGAGCCCGTTTCATCTGGCCGGGCATCTCCAGGCCACTCTGGAGGCCAGCACATAGTGGGACTGCATTTTCCATGAGGCTGGTCTCTGGGCCTGTGATGAAGGCTCCAGAACTTCAGCTGATGGGTAGGGCTGCAGAGGAGGAAAATAATATGTGAGACGGCACAGGCCAGAGGCAGGTGCAGGTACCTTGGCTACCGCTGACCCCCACACTACCCAGTATGCCGGGGCTGGGGTTGAGGCCAGATCTCAGCTGGCCAGGCCGTGCTCTGGCCCAGGGCTCTGGTTTTCAGATTTAGAACCAAACAACACTGGTGTCCACACAAGCCACGTGCTGCTGTGCCAGGTGCTGGAGCGAAACTCAGAGTGGGGTCCCCGGAGCACAGCGTCGCCTTGCCCGGATGCTCGTTAGGAATGCAGATGCTTGAGTGCACCATCCTGTGGGGTCAGAAACTCGGGTTTAACGTGCCTGGTGGGGGTGGGGGTTGGCGGATGCTGGTGCTTTTCCAGTGTGGGATTCACTGGTGGTCTTGCCTCGTCTGCTCTTCCCCGCCTGGATCATTCCAGTTGGCGTTTGACAGGCAAGGTTTAGGGAGGTTTATTTCCTCATCCGAGTCCACTCAGATATTCTGTCCAGGTCTTGCTGGTGTTCTGGGCGGCAGGGAGCTCCCGCCCACCCTCCTCAACGAGAGAGAGAAGACAGCATGAGAGGAGGCCCCCCGAGGGCCGGCCTAGATGCCCCAGGAGCCTTCCTCGGGCGGGATCGATTCCTGCGGCCGTCTCCTTGCTGAGCTGGCCTGCACTCTCCCTCTTGCTCTTTGCCTCCCTTGCTGTGGAGCCATGAGGCCGGCTGCCCAGGCCAGTCCCAGCAGAGCTCATCTGGAGAGTGTTTTGTATAACTAAATCCATTTTCTTATTGACGTCAGTTATGAAATCAGAGATATGTTCCCACGGGGGGCAGAAATGCAAAGACAACAAGGCTGCAGACTGGGCAGGCAGGCCCGGCTGCCCCACGCCCAGCGCCTTTATGTGCGTGCTACATAAGGATTTGGACCCGCATGTGGCACAGGGGTCACCTCCATCATGCAGGAGGATAAACCTAAGTCCCCAGAGTCCAGCACCTCTGGGTGGACTGCCCGGCAGGACCCTTTGGCCACAGGAGCTTGTTTTAAAGCCCAGGGTCCTGGCTCTGCCCGCAAGAGCCCCTAGAACTTGATCAGCTCCTCTTTGTTTAGTATTGAGAATTTTATTTTATTTTATTTTTTAAATATATTTTATTGATTTTGTACAGAGAAGAAGGGAACGAGATAGAGTTAGAAACATCGATGAGAGAGAGTCATCGATCAGCTGCCTCTTGCACACCCCCTACTGGGGATATGCCCGCAACCAAGGTACATGCCCTTGACCAGAATCAAACCCGGGTCCCTTCAGACCCCAAGCCGACGCTCTATCCATTGAGCCAAACCGGTTTCGGCAGTATTGAGAATTTTAAATTATGTATACACTGGAGGCCCGATGCATAAAATTCGTGCAGGAGTAGACCTGCCAGCACCGGCTTCCCTCTGGCACCCAGTACCTCAGCTCCTCTCGCAGCAGCCCCAGCTTTGTCTGGAAGGGCTTCCATTCTGCTTTTGCTCTTTAACTTTCACTCCATCCTTATCTGTAAGTCCCCGCCTCCTTTGCGGGGAAGCAGCAATGTGGGGGCAGGGTGGTTGCTCTCCTTCCTTTGCAAGGGATCCTCGGTGTGGGAGGGGCTGCCTCCTTAGCACCCCAATCTCGGCAAAACCCAGGTGTCGTCTTGGGAGGTTCCCATGGGGTGGCTATATTCAGCAAAATAACCTAAGGGGTGCTGGCTAAATTTGCTTTCAGATCATCTGCCCGATCTTCCCTCGTATAGCTATGTCCCATGCAGTGTCCCCTAGCAAAGTGTTTGTTGTTCACGTGAAATGCAGATTTAACTGGCAGCGCCACCCCCAGCTCACAAGCAGAAGGGGCAGTAAGGCAGGAATGAGCTTTGGAGATGAGCAGCCCGTTGCCAGCTCCAGGGGCTGCAGAAAGGCCACTGTCCAGGCAGCCGTCTGGCCTTGTGAAGGGCCAGCTTCCCGCAGGCCACCTCCCACCCAGGCAGGGGAGAGGCCGCCGGCTGCAGAGCCTGCCCTGTAACCGTGGACCGAGGCAAGCCTTGGAGTCTCCGCCCAGCATGAGCCACGCTGGGATGCTGAGTGACACAGCCAGCCACTGATCCTGGCCCTCCATGACTGTCCTCTGCTGCCAGCCAGCCGGCTGATCCTGGGGTGGTGGTGCAGAGAGTGCTGTGGACATGGAGGCGCACTGCCTCCTTGGGGAGAAGGTGTGCTCTGCCCAGCACGGGCCATGCCGCCTGAGGGGGAGGAGGGTAGAGAGTGCCCCGAGTTGGGGGTAGCTTCCAGTGTTGATGGCCATGGGTCTATTCCCTACCTTAGCTGCCTCCCTGTGCCCCAACCCCACCATTGGGGGTTCAGAAGTCTAACCCCCTCACCTCAGGGTGGGATGGATTCCATTCAGCCCCCAACGTCATCAGGCTGAGGCGGGTGTCCAGCTGAGACCACCCCCTCTTGGCTGCCCCCTGCCCTCCCTCCCTCCTGTGCCCCCTCCGCTTACGAATCATGCTCACAAGGATGTGGTCTCAGGCTCCGCCCCTAGAAGACACCTGCTTTGAATGGGCTGCTTTGAATGGACGGGCTGCTTCTGCTGGAGCAGAGGACTCTCGGGGCCCTGGGGCCCTGGCCCATTCCGGGCTGTTTGCGAATCCTCCTCCGAGGGCTGGGTTTGTGTCCTGTGAAGAAGGAGGTGTCTAGAGTTCAAGGCCCATTCCCCCCGGGGAGTTATCCTCTGGTTGAGCAGGGAAGATGCATTCAGCAAACGTGGACGAACCCAGGCAACTCTCCTGCGTCCCCCCTGGAGTGTGGCTGCAGGCCCAATGCTGCGGCCGCTTGGTGGGGAGCCCTGTGGGCTGGAGTGTCCACCCAGCTGTTATTGAGGAGGGGGTGACAGCGGGGCGGGGTTGGGTGTGATTGGAATGGTGGGGGTGGGGATTTTGAGGAAGCACAGGCCGTGTGGATGAGGCCCCAGAGACAGAGAAGCCCATGCGTGGTCAGGACCCTTTCTGATTTGGGGCGATGGCCGTGTGGAGTGGTGGCTAGTCAGTGACAAATCATTGGGGACCAGGTGTTTGGATTCCACACTTAGTTTGGGTTTTGCCTCCCATGCAGGGCAGGTAAATAAAGGAGGTGGCCCCGGTGGGAGAGAGCAGGGAGGAGTGGGGAGCGGGGCAGACCGGATGGGGTGTGCCTGTCTAGATGGGGCAGCTACTGCTGCACTCCGGTCCATTTTACTGTCTTAAAAAAGAAAGACCCAGGGCGGCTAGGTCTTGTACTTATTAGGAGAAACAAGAGATTTGAATTTTTATGTGAAATCTCTTGAATTTGAAATGTTGTCAGTTGATTCCAGTTTTTTATAAAAATGCTGTATGGGGCAAATAAAACCTGTATATTGGCAAATTTTAGCCTCAAAGCCTCTGATTTGTAGTCTCTAAGCCTCTGCTATAGTGAGTTAGAAGGGTAATGGGACAGAAACCCTCTCCTTCCCCCTCCCCCCATTTCCCCCCAAAGCCCTCACCAGGTAGGTAGAATGTCCCCCTCATTAGTGCTTTGCTAAGGCCTGGCAATAATTCTAATAACACACAGGACAGATGCGCATTGAGGTTGACTTCACATATGGCACCATGCTGAGTCATTTAGTTCTCACAATGACACATAATATGGGGAATTTTAACCTCCTATTATAGATAAGGAAAGGGAGGGTCAGAGAGGTCCAGAAACTTGCCTGAAGTCACACGGCCACAGGTAGGGCAAGAATCTGAGCTGTTTTCCTGACTTTTTTTCTTTTACTTTTGTTGTGATAAGATACAGATAACAAAAACCATGCCTTTTTAATCACAGCTCAGTGGCCTTAATTACATTCCCAGTGTTTTACAACCATCTCCTCTAGCTTCAAAACTTATACATCACCTCAGACAGCAACTCTGTTCCATTAAACAACCCCATTTCTCTCTCCCACCAGCCCTGGCAATGACCATTCTGTTTTCTGTTTTTATGAATCTAACTATTCTAAATACTTGATGTAAATAGAATAATATAGTTCTTGGCCTTTTGTAACTGGCTTATTTCACTCAGTGTAATATCCTCAAGGTTCATCCACGTTATAGCCTGAGCCAGAATTTTTCCCTTTTTGAGCTGAATAGCATTCCCCGTGTGGCTAGATCCCCCTTTGTTAGCTCACGCATGCTTCCGTGGGCACCTGGGTTGCTTCCACCTGTTGGCCGTTGTGAATAGGGCTGCTAGGAATGTGACAGAGGTCTCTTCAAGTCCCTCCTGTTGGTTCTTTCGGGGACATCAGGTTCGGCCAATTCCAAGCCTTAAGACCTTGAAGCACTGAGGTCCCCGTGCAGTTAGAGGTGCCCCGCCGAGTGCTCTTCCAAATTCCTGGATGCTGCTGGCCGTGGGGAAGATAGTCTCCTCTGCTGTTTGCAGCCCAGATCTGTGTCCCTGAAGCTGCTGCTCACCGGGATGCGCTTCTGCTTTCTTCTTCACTGCGTCCCTCCAGTTTTTCCTAGGGGGTGCTTCGGCCCGTGTGTAGGTGCTCCTTGATTCTGTGCTCCTGAAGGTGCACCACAGACTCCTGGCCTCCCATTACCCGCTTCCCCCCAACTTCTAAGGGAGAGAACAAAATGCAACTGCGAGAAGCAGGATAGAAATGTCTTTAACCACGAGTGATGTACATTGTAAAAAACGCACCACCGTGAGTCTGTTGACCTCACTGCGTTGTCCCACGATAGGAGGACCATCGGGTCTCTGAGCACCATGTAAGATGCCCGTTCTCCATCACCCCATCATCCTTTCTCCTCTGTCTCCACAGGGACCTACCAGGGACAGTGGGTCGGCGGCATGCGCCAAGGCTACGGCGTGCGGCAGAGTGTCCCCTACGGCATGGCGGCGGTCATCCGCTCGCCCCTGAGGACGTCCATCAACTCTCTGCGCAGCGAGCACACCAACGGCGCGGCGCTGCACCCGGACGCCTCCCCGGCGGTGGCCGGCTCCCCGGCCGTGTCCCGGGGGGGCTTCGTGCTCGTGGCCCACAGCGACTCCGAGATCCTCAAGAGCAAGAAGAAGGGGCTGTTCCGGCGCTCGCTGCTGAGCGGCCTGAAGCTGCGCAAGTCCGAGTCCAAGAGCAGCCTGGCCAGCCAGCGCAGCAAGCAGAGCTCGTTCCGCAGCGAGGCGGGCATGAGCACCGTCAGCTCCACGGCCAGCGACATCCACTCCACCATCAGCCTGGGCGAGGGCGAGGCCGAGCTGTCGGTCATCGAGGACGACATCGACGCCACCACCACCGAGACCTACGTGGGCGAGTGGAAGAACGACAAGCGGGCCGGCTTCGGCGTGAGCCAGCGCTCCGACGGGCTCAAGTACGAGGGCGAGTGGGCCAGCAACCGGCGGCACGGCTACGGCTGCATGACCTTCCCCGACGGCACCAAAGAGGAGGGCAAGTACAAGCAGAACATCCTCGTGAGCGGCAAGCGCAAGAACCTCATCCCGCTGCGTGCCAGCAAGATCCGGGAGAAGGTGGACCGGGCCGTGGAAGCGGCTGAGCGGGCTGCCACCATTGCCAAGCAGAAGGCGGAGATTGCAGCCTCCAGGTAGGAGGGGGGAGGGGGTGGCATGGGCAGCAGGGTGGTTCTGAGTTGCCAGCCAGGCCTGGTCTGACCAATCATGCTGCCCGGTTAGAAGCCTACACTGGCATTTCTCAAAGTATGCCCCTCGGGACCCCGGGGTTCCACAGAGGTTCTCAGAGGTGAGGCAAGGCAGTGGTTGGTCTGAGAGGTTCTTGGCCATATGGCCCCTCCTTACATAGAGCGGTATCTCTTTTGTCTGTTTTATGTGCTGGTGTTTAATGTAAAATGTGGACGGATAAAGAAGGTGGGCCGTTCTGCTGGTAAGATGCATAAGATGGTGCCGGCTGAGAGAAAGGTGCAGTGCCGCCGTGGCCACATTCCCAGTTGGGCATGAAGTGCCCAGCCTTGCTGGGACGTGGGAGGAGGGTGACTGCTGCCCTGGCCATCTGGCCTCCAGCCCAGACTGTCCCTGGGCCCTGGGAGGCAGCACCAACTGGACAGGTCGGCTAGCGGTAGGCGCCAGGCGAGACTCGGTGCTGTGGGCCAGCAGCTGGTCTGAATGGGATTCAGGACTTGGAGTTGGCAGGGCTGGTGGACCCCAAGCAGTGGGTCTGGCATTGGTGTGGGTGGGCACCATGTTGAATTTTGAGGTGTCTTTGGTATTGGCGCAGGGGTGGGGGCTTCAGAGCTGGAGAGTGGGTGCCGTGGGAGGGTCTCCCTGGGAGCTGCAAGGGTAAGCGGATAAGCCCAGATGTGGTCCCGGTGAGGCTTGGGAGGCGGTGGGCAGCAGGAGTCGGTGGGCAGGTGCGTGCTGCAGGTTGAAGGAAACTGCCCTGTTGAAACCCAGGGCCCCAGGCTGCCTCACTCCTGGCTTCTAAAGGAACAGACCCTGACGGTGTTAGCCAGCAGCTTTCACCACCCGTTTGCTTTCCTGGGTCAGGGCAGGGCCTTCGGGTGCCCTGAGCGTCCTGGGCATTGGGACAGGGGTCTGGGACCGCTTCTGGTCCCTCAGGGTGCCCAGAGAGGAGGCCTCAGGAGCGGCGTCTTTCTGGATGATTCTGTATTCCCAGCCAGGGGCAGCCTAGACTTACTCCAGGAACGCTCCTGGCTCAGGAGGCTCAGACCTTCCCAACCTCGTCACTTAATTAAAATGTTAGCTCATTTGGTTCTGGTTTTCAGTGACCTTTGATCCACAGTGGAAGAACAAAAATGTGGTTGGCAGAGTATCTGCCACTCACAGCATCTGAGGCTTCAGAGGCAGACGGAATCCATTCCAAGAGGCCGAAAGAAAAAGGGCATTGCTCCCTGGACACCGAGGTCAGAATTGCTCTGTGCACCCCTCTGTCCCCCCAGACATGGTCGGGCAGCAGAAGTGAATAGGAGCCACATTTATGACTGCTCACCTGGTATTTTAGGATCCGTTTGGGTTCAATCGTTATTTTTTCCCATTAGAAGTATAGCCCGTGCCTCATCTGGGAGAAATGGAAAATGGAATGGAAAAGGAGAAAAAATGACATCAGGTCTGATCTACTATGTCACTAGAGACTCTTGCTGGCATTTTGCCCGATTTCTTTCCTTTCAGCGTTTATGTTTTTATCATTCGTATTGTGTTTGTTTTGTTGACCTCAGTGGACAAGAAGCAGTTGCAGGGCGGGCCCCAGGATCGTCAAAGGTTTAGGGCGCTCGTGACCGCTCCCGTCTGGCGGCAGGTTAGTTCTCGGCCTAGGGCCTGGGAGGCAGACGTGCAGCATTCGGTGGACACGGAACTGGTTTAATTCTAGAGTCTGATCACCTGGCGAACTTCTTATAGGGCTGAGGAGTTTTCTGAAAAAATCTTCCAGAAATGGGGGGAAGGGAAGATGCTGGTTTTATTAAGGAAACGAGGTGGTGGTGTGGGCAGAGCTCAGAGTCAGCACACCCAGGGAACTTCGCCCCCAGGCAGGTTTCGGTGTTTCTGAGCCTTAGTTTCCTCATCTGTGAAATAGGAGTAATGCCCGCCTGCCACGAAGGCCTGGGAACTGAGGTGAGGACAGCTTCGCCGGGGCTGGGGCCTCCCCGCTCCTCAGGGCGGGCAGAGTGTGGGCTTCGTGAGGGCTGATCGATGAGCAGCAGGGTCCAGGAGAGGGCCGGGGCGCTGGGCCAGAAGGGCAAGAGGGGTACAGAGAAGTTGGGGCAGCACAGGACCATGGGGCATTGGCCGGCCAGCCTTGGTGCTCCCACATTGGCTGGGGAGGCCTCTGCCGGTGTGTTACTTGATGCGGGGGGCAGGAATGGGTGAGGGAGGGGAGAGGATTAAGTCTGGGCAGGTGGTCAGGGAAAAGTAGAGTGGGTTCCTGGTTGCACGTACCTGCTACATCTGGGGCTTTGGAGCGCTACTCCGTTCTGAGAACCAGCCTGGCTGACTGGAGTGTCCCGCTCTGTACACACAGATTTACACACCCCACACAAACTCACACACACAACTCATAGTACATTCACACTGCTCACATTCATAGCCACATACACACACAACTCAGACACGGCACATACACATTCAGACACACACAGGCATGGGCACTGAGGAAGGGCTGATGCAGAGCCTGGACCTGTGCAGTGCTGGGGATCAGCCCCCTTGTCCCCTCCACACTCACAGCTGGGCCTGCGACAGAGGCAGAAGGTGGAGGGTGCCCTGACAGGGTCTTCAGTGTGAGGCGAGAGTGAGGGGCAGTTGTGCCAGGCGAGTTGATCTGGATGAGTTGAGATCAGAGCAGAAGGCGCTGCCATCCTTCACCTGTGACTTCCTCCTCTAGGGTCCTCTTCTCCAAATTGTGAACCCCCATGAGAGACGGGCTGTGTTGTACTCCATTCTGCCCTGCCACTCAGCCTAGTTAGTCCCAGCCAAGTGGAAGCTCAGGGGCACACTCAATGAACTGCTGTAAGCTGCCTGTATTCGGATGGACCACAGGTGAAGACCTCTCTAGCCTTCATGCACTCGGGACACTTTTATGAGGTATCTTCTACTTAGATAGCAAATACTAGGCACCTTTGCACCTACCACTTCTCACCCCTCGCCTCGCCCATGGCAGACATAACTAATCAATCACAGTGCTCCTAGCTGCTGGCTTGGAAGATGAAACCTAATGGCCATCACCTGTTGCTCACTGACAGTCCTGGTCCAGCCTGTGGTCTGGTTGGGAATCAAAGTATAAACTAGAGATGAAAGAGGCATAGAGAACACCTGGTGCAGAGGTTGTCACGCGTTACCTTTCAGTCGTAGAGCCCTTTGTCCTGCAAACCTTTACAGCTCCCCAAGGTATAAAATAGATGAAGGTACTGTTCAGAGTCAAGCTGGGGGACAGTCCGGGCACACTGTGGCCTGTTTGCCTCTCCCTTTCCTACCTCCAGTGTGGTGGCCACAGGACGATCGGCAGTGTCCTGGGTTGATGGTTCATGCGTGAGCAGGTGTCTGACACTGCACCAAGTGCCAAGGGAGAGAGTGCTGGGATCGGCTAGCTATGTCTGCCCAAAGCTGGGCAGGGAGGGTTCTGGCTGCTGTGAAGCCCATGATTTCTTAGACCAGTATTTCCCAAACTTTTGACATATGTGTACCCCTTCTATAATTTTCGTAACACTGAGTATCCCTCATACTCATGAGAACGTAGAATTAGGCGCAGCTAAGCACAGTGCAGTGCATATTCCCACCAAACTCCGGTGCAATGCGTACCCCCCCCCCCAAACTCTTCCCGTACCCCTGGGGATACGCGTACCGCAATTTGGGAAACACTGCCCTAGATCCTACAGACACTGGGAGAGTTACATGGGAATATGGTGGTGTTCCTTTAGCTTGGACCCCCTCTCTCTGCCTCCTCTGTGATTTATCTCAAACGTCACTGTGAAGAGATGTCAGGGGGCTTTGCAGAGTGGTAGAGCTGAGAGGAGGAGGTGTTTATTATCATGTACTGACTCCATTCCATTAGAATATGAACTCCCCAGGCCAGGGAGTCACTGTTGAGTCACTGGAGCCTGGGACGTGTGTGGCTTAACAGCACAGCGTCTGTGTAATAGCTTGGAATGAATGAGTGTATAACTGCTTCGGCCCCACCTTCATTGTCAAGGACAAAGGCTACTTCCTTTGGTTCTGGGGACCAGAGGAAGGTATGGCAGTGGCCATGGCCACCTTGGGGCACGGGATGACTGGGTCAAGCTCAAAGTGGGCAAGGTTGCCACAGCTGAGTGATCACTCCTTTCCAAGGGGACCCTGGGATCCCGCTTGCTCCTTGGTGCCCACAGATTCTCGAGGTGCGAGGTGAACCCTCCTGGGCCCAGCAAGGCAGCACCTTCTGGCAAGTTCATGGGAGAGAGAACTGTGTGCTCCTGAGGGTTAGGTCAGTGTTGCGGTGCCCAGGCCCCGCCATCCCACAGAGGTGCTCTGTGACTGGGCGGGTCACCAACTCTACAGAGGGTGGTGCAGGTAAATTGTCCCTGGGTCCCGTGTTGTGGGGATCACACAGATGGTGTGTGTGTGTGTGTGTGTGTGTGTGTGTGTGTGTGTATGTGTGTGTGTCGCGTGTAGCACAGCACCCAGGCATGGGGGTGTTTATGAAGGTGAGGATGAGAGCTCACTGTGTGCAACACTCCTACTTCCCACCCTGCAGGCAACCATGTTGGCTCCTGAACTTGCTCTTTGGGTTGACTGTGCGGCTGGAGTGGTGGGGTGCAGATCTCCAGAACACACGGGGCAGGATGATGCTCCAAACCCTCTGCATCTCCGCCCCCCACTTCTTGGCCTGGCTTCCCTCTGGTGCTCAACCCGCAGCCTAGAGCTTGGATCCAGCTCTGCTTCCTGGGAGTGGCCGTTCGCTGTGCTCGGGGTGAGGAAGAGGCAGCCACGGACAGCTGTGCTTGTCGAGGAGCTCTTGTTCCCCTGGGAGCAGCGCCGATGGACATGGGTGTGTGGGCAGGAGGTAGGGCTGGGCGGAGAGGCCTCGGTGCAGAGGGCATCTGTCCGTCCTGGTGGAGGCGGGAGCCTTCCCGGAGATGGTTGG